AAATGAACATCATGCTATATGAAAGAAGACTTCCATAGACTTCCGGAAGACTAGTGAGTGAGACCATAAATTCATTAAGAAAGTGAGAAGTTGGGTCATTTCCCCATAAGACTCCATACTATTGGACTTCTTTTGTATAGCCCATGGAGCTGCCCCCGCTGGCCATTACCTTCACTTCACAGACTCAGACGATCTGCCCACTACTTATACGTATACAGTTAACGAGGGCGACATTCAGGGAAAAAATTATGTTACTTCTAATGCAAACCGAACATTTCCTGCTGCTTCAGCTTTACATTAAAAGCTTTTAACTGGCATGAGCTGACTTTTATTATGAAGTAGCAAATGCAATGTGTTTGTCAGTAAGAGTAGCACTGACCGCTATCATTAATCAAAAATGCGTCTACGGTCATATTCAGCAAGCAGTTAGTTGGAAATATAGCAGGGAGTACTGAAACAGGAAGGAGCAGTTACAGTAAACATTTAGATGAAGAGCTGCACACCTCCAACTTCTCAGAGAGGTAACCAACTCCCTGTGGCCTGCTGTTCGCAGACTCATGCTGTGTGCAGCATAAAATCAGATCACGGTTGCTCACAGAATGATGGATAAATCATTGTTGCCTGACCTTTTTTTTCTGCACCTCATACAAATACACCAGTTGCTCTCATGTTCCAGGAGTGTTTTTTTTGCTGTTACCACCAGTGACCACAGGTGTCGCCAAATCAACCAGGACTGAAATCTTAAGGATTGTAACTTTAACTACACACCAGATCTGATAGAGATATCTGTTAACAAAAGCCCTGATAACAAGGCGTCCCAGCCATTTTAATTTTGCTGATAATGGGAAGATGTTTATGTCTCTATTGACAGGCCAAACATTACAATCATTACAAACATAAGGCAATGGTTACCCGACCAATATCCTAAACACACACACATCCGCTCTGGTTGAGCCTGAAGCTGTTTGCCTGTGATCACTGTGCTCATCACGTGACCCCAGTTACCGCAGCCTCACCCTGAACATTGGACATCTCTGAGATTAGACGTGATGTTAAAGCGAATCATAAAGTCACTGAGCAATATACCAACAAACTGTGAAAGGGGACATAGCCGTTCCACTATCAAAGAGGGTTGTTTCTTTGATGCAAGTCTGGACTGAAGGTGATACTGGATAAGAACATTCCCAGTCACCTAAAGTGTATATGATATTTTCCATCACACCGATGATTCAACAGTGTTATAATCCAGTCCAACGCACGACACATTGCAGTGGCAGTGCCAGGAGTCAACAAGCCTGTGTTGCAGGAAAGACCAAGCTTGGTGGTCATTAAAATTTTACAAGGGACATAATGGTGACAAAAAATCTGTCACTACATGTTGCACAATACTAGCAGGTCAAATTTGCCTTGAGGTGTTTTTTATTAACCCGTCACATACACACAGACAGAGCTGGGCACAAATACAATTTGTAAGCTTTCTAGGAACTCGCAGCTATAAAGGACAACTGGGGCAGATTGGGATGATAACCTTTAATACCTGCTGGTCAACATTTAATGAAGGAAAACCACTGTTTGTTTATCTCTGCGCTTTCAGCCCAGGACAGCTGGAGTTCAAACAGTGATGACATAAGTAGCTGCATGCTGCTGGTTGTGTATGAGCTGTTTTATTCATTTATTTTATTATTTATGTGATGCAATGGACAATGCAAAAGTCTGAAATACTTCAGGTGTATTTTCAGCCATGTCAGATAAACAGTAAAAAAAAAGCCATATCTCCTAAAGTCTATTAAGTTTGACACATATTTGTAACAATGATTAATTATCTCTGGAAGCCAACAACATTCACATAAGCAGTGATTCATCCAGTAAATGATTCCTGGAGAAAACGGGAAATTGGACAACCAAAAAAAGGGGGTGTATTTCTGTCTGCTTTTCAGCTGCACAGCAGGAACATGATGCTGGGCTGATCACCATTATACTGATACAGACAGCATACTGTACACTCCATACTGCCTCATTACTAATTCATCGCCAAGTGTAACAGCTGAATTCTCATAAGATGCTCTGTAATAGAAACCTGTAGAGAACATGCGTCTGGTCTAGTGGTGTGTTCAAGATGCCCCCTTTCACTGGATATTAGGGTTTTTTTTCCAGCACATGCCAATTATGATAGTTTACTTCATGGAATAACTGTAATGCCTCAAAAAGTGAAGCCATTAAAAAGGAATATTTTGCTGTTCATGAGTCTGTAAAGTTGGGAATCTGTACTTTAAACACCTTGAGTCATGTGATGAAATATGCATCCAGAGCACAGACTTAAATGCAGTCTAAATGCCTTTAGGATCCTCTAAAGGCAGACAGCTCTCACCAAAGGGAAACAAACCCTGCAGACACCCAACTCTGAAAGACACAATGACATGTAATGTGTAGACAGAGTCCCACTCACCTGCTGGCTGTGTGTGGATCAGGAGGGAAGATGAATGTCTCTCCAGCCTATAAAGGCCGCATGGATCATAGGAGCCAAATAATCACCCTGAACTGCTCACAAGATCCTCTCTTCAAGTATTCGCTGTGTGTTCAATTTCTGCTTGACCCCCAGACTGTCTACAGACTGGACACACCTGAGCAGATACAAACATGCAGTCTGCAACCTCTCTGGCATTACTTCTTCTTTTTCTTTCCGCTGCACACTTTCTTAGCTTACATTTCCATGTCTGCTCTACTGCTTTCACTATTTTTACTTCTCTCCAGCTATCTCTCACTCTCAATCTTTCCTCCTCTTTCTCTATCTGTCAATCTCAGCAGCTCTGGTGTTGAATCATTAACGATAACCTGAGGCTCCTCCCATCACACCAGGTAGAGGAGGCAGGAGGAAGAGGAGGAGGAGGAAGAGGGGGGGAGGAGGGGGAGGAGGAGGAGGAGGAGGAGGAGGAGGATGGACTGTAGAGAAAGCTGAAGTTGGGGTGTAAAAATAATGCTCGGCTGCTAAATAAAATAAAAGCAGAGTCTTATTTTCTGGGATTTCATTCCTTTTAATTGGTTGTCTCTTAAAATGAAGCTGTGTGAAGTGTTGTTGTTGTTTTTTTCAACTTAAAAAATAAAACAGCTGCAAGACTAATTTGTGACTTTGGGACATTTAGCAGTGATTTATTTCCTGCTGACGTAGAAGACAGATGACAAAGAAATGAAAGTGGAGGCATTGAGTAAACAATGAGAAAGTCACTATAAAAGATGACAGAAAGGGGAAGTGATATGAAGACAATATGAGAAGCGCACAACCACAAAGCACACTTTATATATTTTCTCTAATCCTTTCTTCTACCTTGATATTTTTGTACACTCATGAAAAATAACTAGTTTTTCGAAGATAGTCTCTTTATAATATGATCATGCTGGATGCTTTTCCTCTGAGAGTCACACACATAACTGACAGCCAGAGTTGAGGGAAATGATCAAAGCTGAGGGCAACTGGGACAATTCTTAGATTATATCTGCCAAACTTAAGTGTCTACTTCATTAGGTTTCTATTTTTCCACACGCCACTGGATGTTTTCCAGGCCGCAGCGTCACTGAATGAATCTAAATGAGGCTGAAGGGTTAGCATTGTGACAGAGGGCGTGGGCCTTTATTGTTCACAGTTAATTATTGATAGTCTGGCTGGTTAATCAACGACATTAATGACCCCACCACTCAGAGATAAAACGGCTTGGATTTCAGCTGTGGAACCGGAGGGAACTCGGTGCCTGCATGTGTTATGACATTTTTCCATTAAACCCAGGACTGAATTATGTGTCGCTATTGACCACAGCCACTGATAAGAATGAGTTTATTTTATTCCCGAAGTAAAATCACCAACAGAAATTCAAATGTGTCTTCTTTCATCTTCATTCTTTAATTCAAGTATAATTCAGTTACCGAAGACAGAATAGATGGTTCATAATGCCCAAAGTTGTGGTTACATCTTACACAGAAGTAAAACAAAACAAATTTTTTTTTTCAATAAATACACAGCAATTAAAGGAAAGTGAATGTAGTAAACATCTGCAAAGAAATCATGAGCAAATAAATTCAATAACACAGCAATTCACAACATTTGCTACTATAATCTTAATCTTTAACGTTCATGTTCTTGGGCCACAGTTGATAGCATTTCCCATTATGGGTCAAGTCAAACATTCATTCTGCAATACCTTGGAATTGGCATAATACATGTGTTTGTATCATCAGTGCACTGTTGGTGATACACATGATAAGACATTTAGCATATTCTCTACCGATTTTAAAATACATTCAGTGTACACACATACAGACCTGGTCCTACAAATACTTCAAATTAGTCATTACATTTCAAGAGAAATGCCCTCCTATATCTACATCTACACACCAAATAATTATCATGTGGACTAAAAGTGGTCACAATACACACACTATAGACATTATTTTATCTAGCGCCCATTCCTCTAACAATGTTTCAGTGACAAAAAAAGGCAGATTGCAACAGACATGAATTCAGAAGCACTCGCTATTAAATAATTATTATTTTAGAACACCAGGTACAAATACCTAAAGTAACACACCTAGATTTACTGGTTTTCAGTGAGTGTTAGCTCTTTTACCTCTGATGAACTGCATAATTTACAATGCAATGAAGTCTACTGAAAAAGCATATTCAAGCATATAATACTCAAAATTTTGTTTTAAAAATCTGTCAGATTATAAATGTATTTTGCAATTATAGAAGTCTTTTTTCTTCAAGGCAGATATGTATATTTCTTCTGTATTGCTATTTGCTGGATTACCTCAAGAGTCTGGTATGCATTGACAGATTGTATGTCAAGTATGCATGCAGGGCTAAAACATGGGTAGTATAAGGTATGTTACACACTTCAAAATCAACGTAGCATATGAGGCAAAACAATATCAATAGGACAATACTACTGTTCTATCTTTTATATTCAATTAATTCCTATTTAAATCACATTTTATAACTGCACCTAAAATCCTAGGTGTTTTCTTTCAAGGTCTATTTGTGCGTTTTATTTCCAACTCATGCTACAGTGCTTCATGTGAAGTTGGGACGGAGAGGAGGAGGGGGAAAAGCTATTTACATTCTATTGACAAATAATTTAAAAAGAAAAACTAATCCATATATTATTTTTGTGTAAATACAATATTAGGCATTAAGTTATCAATTGGCTGGAGGATTTCTTGAATTCTTATAAAAATGAATTCATGACTTTTTTTTTTTAAAATATTCTTAGATTGCTCATTTAAAAGAGAACCTGAGACAATGAGGAGGTAGATTAGCTTATTTGCAGTAAGGTCATATGATTGTACAATACAGCTGTCATTCTCGGTGAAAAGCCGACTTCTGTGGTAAGATAACAGCATGCAAAGCTAAGCAGTGCATTTTTGGAATTGTTGCCAAGATGCCAGTGGATCATAGTCTTTACAGCTAGCAGTCATTCTCATATTATGTCAGGTTCAGAGTACAAAACGAGTGACGGTGTGAAAAACAATTAGCTCATCTTCTCCTCCTTAATGCCACAGGCTTTTTTGATGTCAGTCGGGTGTTCAAAGACGGCTTGAACAAACTGACCGAACAGGCGCTCCATGTAGGTCTCACCAAAGGGAAACAAACCCTGCAGGAAGGCGATGTGTCCACCATGTGCTGTCAACAACAGAGCAACATTGGGCAGGCCCTGGACTATGGTCAACGGGAAGGCTGTGCGGGAAATACATTGAAAAAATCAAAAACATCTTTTGTAGTAGACTGAAATATTAACCACGGCACACAAGAAAACATCAAAGAGTTTCTTCCAGAAGAATATATGTTGTGAATTCTTCCAGCATTCACACAAATGCTCCTAACAATAGTTATAATGATTCCAGTAGTCTGTGTCCTCCTACAAAAGCAACTGTCTGTGCAGTGCAGGGATTCTCTAATGCTCAGCACCATTTTTAACAAAAGGATTCTAAATAATATTCTGCAGATAACACATCCAATCATGAAACCAGGCACAGACTTCACACTGAAGTGTCAGTTAATGAAAAGTTACATCAAAAACTGTACGCCTGTCCATCTTTTCCTGTTGTATACTCACCATTTTGGGGAGACAGGGGGTCATCAGCAGCGTTGAGACACAAGATGGGCACGGCTGTACTGGGGAGCTTTTTGTCTGGGCTGGCATCGCGGTAATAGTCTGTACAAGATTTATAACCAAACTGCAAAATGGTGAAGCGCTCGTCAAACTCACGGATTGTCTGTGCCTAGAAGAGAGGAATGAAATGAAATGAAATAAAAATGCGAACAGAGAGGGAAGATGTTGCTTATATACCTGGAGTCTTGTAACGAAAATAATTTCCCCCTGAGATTATTAAAGTATTTCTGATTCTGAAGATAATAACACATAAAGGAAGAGATAAAGAAAAAGAAACTATGACGGAAAAGTAAATGTAAGGAACGGGCCAAACCTTTAAGACATGGTCAATGTCCCCCACTTTCTCCAGAACCTTCCTGTTCCTGTAAAAAAAAAAAAAAAAAGTCCACAATACCGAATTGTTACTTTAAATTCAAGAATTTTGTGAAACTGCAACTTATCTGACCTGATAACAGCACGACACAGGCCATTCGTGAGGTATTTGTTGAAGAGCAGCCAGTTGAGTGGTTCTTCCACTGAGGCGGCAGACTTCAGGGCATCCCAGGGGACAGAGATGGTGAAACCTGCCACCATCCCTGACTCTGTGCGCTTACGGGCCAGGTAGTTTAACAATAACATGCTGCACAGGGTGAAAGAAGAGGAAAAAAAACAGAACTTTCCACAAAAAGGTAGTAACTAAAGGGAAGACCGAGAAAGGAAACAAAGCCAGGATAAATCTGACCATTGCTAACGTGTTTAGAGAAATGCAAGCAGTTGGAAACCATTACACCCTACACCAACTCACCCTCCAAAAGAAAAACCAGCACCAAGCACAGGGGCATGTGGGTAAAGTCCTTTGACATGGTGAACCACACGCTCAAGATCTGAGGTATTAGCTCCAGAGTAGGTGACAGGTGTCTGAAATTAGCAGAGGAGGGGCATTACATGTTGTGCTCAGTCCAGAATTTGTGTTTGAACTGCTGTATATACTACAGCTGGCATTACTCGACATTTCTTATATTGTCAACAAATCTAATGAAAAGACCGAAACCAACATTGTCTGAGATAGTTTTGCACTACTTTCCTATTTCTGTATGTGGTATTTAAAATCCATGTGTTCCTACTGAAGATGTAAATCTTTAACAGTGGGACACACATATGTAGTTCTAGTAATTTCCTAAAACAGCTGGAAAAAAACCTTATTTAAATTAGGTTAAATAGTGTATTTCTTGTAGACCATACGTTTGACTAAAAATAAACAGTGCCCATGGTTATACTTGTGAAGGAACATGTTACCCAGTGCAACAGTGTGGCTCATGGAGTGTTTTTAAAAACAATGGAGCTATATGGCACATAGAAATATATAAAGCACATCAGGCTTAGGATACACTTGACAATAACTGTTCAATTCATTGTTTGTTTTTGTCTTTACACAGGATTTATTGACAATAACAAAAAAACTGAATATCCAGTCTTATCCTGCGACATTTTTTGGAAAAAGCAGCAGTAACATCTTTATTTATTTGCCCATTGTGACACAGATAGATATTTTATTTTACGATACTTTAATTTATTTTCAACTTCATACCGAATTTGCAGATTATTGGGCAGTAGCATGAGGAGAGACTTGCTCTCAGTAAGCCTTATTCAATAAGGTCCCCAATTGGGCAAATCAAATAAGAAGAAAAAAAACACCTGATGCCTAAATCTCAAAATACACACCAACCATTGATCTGTTTGAGAAAATCTTGGGGAATCAGAATAACAATCATGCTTTTAAAACCAAGACAGTTTTAGCTTTTAGAATGAGACCCAGCTACAATCACCCAAGACTGCGGAAAATAGTGCTCCCTGCAGATTGATAGAGAAGGATAAAAGTGCAAACTCTAATTTGTGAAGCTACTTCGCAAACAGAGTCGGTTGAAATGACAGAACGACACAGGAAATTTCACAATTCAGTGTGACACGGATAAAAGGTCAGAAACTGTAAACAAATGTAATGTAATTACTGTACTTACCAACAACTCTTCCCCTCCAGCACCTCTGTTGTTGAAGACCACACATCTAAAAGAGAAAATGTCGATGAAAACAACTACAGCAGCTACTGGACATTTAAATTTGTGTTTACATTTCACTTCTCATTTTTGCACACAGATGAAGAATTTCATCATTTCAGACAGGGGCCGGGTGAGGAGCACAACGGACCTGTAGCCGCGGCGAGTGACCTGGCTAACAATATGGAGCACATAGGCCGCCTGGCTGTTCCCGGTCAGGCCTGGGAGGATCAGTACCGTGGGACGGGTAGAGGATTCTGTGTAGGTTGCACTGGCCTGATTGTCCACCCAGTCCAGAGAGATCTGACCACCATCAACAGTATGGATCAGCTCACTGAGGGATGAAGGGAGGATTACTAGTACATTAACAACACAAAAATACCATTTTGCCATTCTGTGGGTTTAAGATTAAGAGTTATTTCATCCACATAACCTTGATGTTCTTATAGGAGAATCCTGTAGACAGGACTTTCCTTAAGAAATATATAAATACTGTACTAAGATAGTAAGATGACAACAAAGGGAACTCATGCAGGAGGTTCATCCTACTTGCGATAAGTGACAGGGAGTCTGGACTTGAAGAGGGCACAGACCACAGTCTGAAGCCGGCCTCCCCAGCACCATGGAGTGGGACTGAAGCGCTCAGCCACCAAAGGACAGTGCTTGTGAAGGAATGCGCTAAAAGCCTTGCTAGAAATTAAGCCTGGAGTCTGGAGGGGAAAGAGAAAAAAAAAGACAAAGTATGAACAAAGAGGAGCCTGTAAGTAGACAGGAATTCATGCAAATCAAGAAGGATGGGGTTAGGGGAGCATTAGAAGAGTAGACAGTGTGACAGTTATGGAGCCTCAAATGAAAACCTCATGACTTCAACAGACAGGAAATGTATATATATTTTGTTGTAATGCCAAACATTTGCAGATTCCAGCTTGTCAGGTGTAAAGATTTCGTGTTTTGTATCATTGTCAACTGAATATCTTCGGGACTGGTTTTGGGACTGCTGGTCTTTTTCTTTTACATTTGATAGACTAACCAAAAAATCTATTACAGTAATTAAAAAAGTAATCAGCAGATTATATAGGTATTTATAGTGGATGTATAGATATATGTATATAAGTATGTTTATAAGTAACTGCATATATTGTTTTTCTATGATGTTAAATGATGTTATTAAGCATTTATTTCCGCTTTATGCACCAGTTGCTGACTATAACACTAGATATGAGGGAAAGTTCTCCTCATGGTCTCAACCACCCAAACAGAGCTGGGTAAAGTCTTTTCCTTCCCACACACAGGAAGCTGCAAGGCATACTTATCTTGGAATTTCTACCCTTTACCCTTTCTTGTTTTGGTATCTTTTTATGATGTAATCTGTCCCCATTTGTACTCCTAAGCGAAACTTTTTTTATTATTATTATTTTATTAAATTGTAAATAAAAATAATAAATTGATGCTTAATATGATAGTTATAGTTGTTGTTGACAAATACAAACACTTACAAATGTCCCTAAATTTCCTTATGACTGTATCATAGTGTGTTTAAACAACCTCAGAAGTGTTCATATGCTCCTCATTAATGCTAAATAGGGATCATGATTAAGTGTTAAAGCAAATAACCTACTTGCAGGCCCAAACATTATTGTATTAATGAAGTCTGTATTAAAGTGCCCTTAGTTTTGTAGAACAAATGTTACTGTACACATTAGATTAACATTTGGTATCCAAACCATGCAAATATACCAATGTTATTATATATTTTCATAAAGATTCACAGGATTGTGCTGGTTTAAATCATGTAAATCATGTCCAGCTCTGTACTGCATGAACATCAAAAACTTATTATTAAGTAAAAAATGGCAATATTGAAAAATACAATAAAATACAATAGATAAGATGAACTACAAATTGATTAAATAAGAAAAAGTATAATAATAATAATAATAATAAGCAAAATACAATGCAAAAAAAATGTAAAATTGAGCAGAATCAAATACAAATTTGAATAAAATATGACTAAAATAAAACACCATACGAAAGAATAATAAAAAATAGATTACTATAAGAAACAAAAGAATAAATACCATAAAACACACACACACACACACACACACACGTGGATATAGCCTTTAGTGCAGTCAGTATTACCTAGCCCTGACCGCAGTGACTGACCTGACACTTGCGGCCCCACAGACAGTACAATGCGGCCGTGAGGGAGCAGATGAACACCGTATAAGGTCTGGAAACACACTCCCAACAAGTTGTCCATAGCTCCAAATGTGATATAAGCATGTCTGTGGTGTGTCTGGCTACAGTGCAGAGCGCTAACCTCTAAATGACTCGTTAGCCGACACAACGGGACAGACAACGGACAAACAGTGTGTTAGTGTCCGACAACCTGCCTTCATCACCACCAGCTAATGTTAAAGATGTCCTAGAGCCACTCCTCCCATTAGCTCTGACGATGTTCGGTATCCACCTGCAGGCTTTTATTCAGCGGTGTTTTCTCCAAGAGCGGCTACTTCCTGCTTCATGCCAGTGTTTGAGTGTTGGAAGAGGAACGCGGAAGTTAACTAATACGCATGCGCCGGCCACATGCGTATTAGGCGCATTTCCGCCACCTTCTGTTGTTTGTAAGGTACCACTTTACCAAGGTCACTGTTGTTATTATAGTTTATTTGTATATTTTCCTGAAGTATAGCCTCTTCTTTTTAAGTCCCATAGTTTACGTTATAGTAGACTCATTTAAGTCATATTAAAATTGAACTAAACTAACTAAACTAAAACACGATAAAAAAAAGAATATGGTAAATGTGGCTCTTAATGTTTAGATATTTTTGAGGCCTTAGCGTCCCTGAATCAAATCTAGTTTTAATACCTATAATATTTCAGATTTTTACATGGTGCATATTCATGAACACATTTCTGTTCACTTAAATTATCACAATCCAACTGACTTGCAGCACATCCGGGGCAAGGTGGCATTCCAGTTTTGTTGTTTTGTGGGAAAGATACACTAGGTTGGGGGTTGGTGTGTAAGGTCCTCTGCTCATTTTTAACCCCTAACAGGTTCATTCAGGTCTACCTTTGCATAGGAGTCATCTTCCTCTTCTTCTTTAGAGTTCATGGTAGTTAGGTGCATTGTCTCCTATAATTTCTTCTCATAAAAGCACAACACTTCCATGCTTTGTTCCCAGGGATGGAAGCAGAGTGAGCGCCTCTGTCCACATCTGCCATGTTGAAACCAGTGGTAGAAGAAGAAGTATAGAGTATTTTACTTAAAAAAATATGTAATTAAAAATACTTACTTAAGTAAAAGTATAAGAATATTAACATCAAATTTAAGTATCAAAAGTAAAAGTAGCCTACTCATTATGCAGTAAGGCCCATTTCAGAATTATATATAGTATATTACTGGATTTTAATTAGTGATGTATTAATGTGTACATCACTTTAATGTTGCATGTGGGGGTTATTGTAATCCCTTTATATACTGCTTAATCTATATAATATATCATAATTTACTAGTTTATTTATATTTTGTATTAATAATCTTAATCTGCAAAGTAACTTGTAACTAAAGTTTTCAAATAAAGTGGTGGAGTATAGTGGAGTAAAAAGTACAATGTTTCTAAATGTAGTGGATTAGAAGTGTAAAGTACACACACACACACACACAAACGCCATAACACAAAAAATAACATCTCCATATGACATGTAAAGTGTCACATAGCAGTCCTGAGCGTTTTTAGGTAACTCTTAACTTGCTTTTACCACAGATAGCAGTAAAAAATATTGTATAGTTCATCAGAAAAATTAAACCTGGTGATCAACATAATGATGTATTTAAAACAATAAATACACTAGCACAAAAGTTCTTGTTTCACCATGTTGTGCAATTTATTCCCTTTTGGTTACATGAAATCTCTATTATAAAATCTCAATTTTAATCTTTCTTAATTGACTTTATTTGATGATCGTTTGCAACCAAGGACTCATTTAAGCTAGAGTGGGATTCCTGTAACCACCTCTGACTCAATGCCACACTCATCAGTTCCACGCTTGATCTTGAAGAAACCTAAAATGAGGAGACACAAAAAACACCATTTAAGGCTGACACTACTTTACCATATCACTCCCAATATTGCCAGATTATGTGACAAAAGTTTGTTCTGCACTTATGGCCCCCAACCCTGATTTTGTTGTACCTTTATCTCCCCAGTCACTGTTCCAGGAGTTCGCAGCCAGCCAGTAGGGCGTCCCATTCTCCTCTCCCCAGCCGAGGAGCTTGATGGCATGACCACCCAGCATCTCCCCTGTCACATGCTGGTACACACCTACAGTAGAGTAACATTGAGTGCAATAACACACGGCTTAAATGACAACAGTTATTCACATTTTAACACAGTTACTTCTCCAGCATCCAAGATTTAAGAGTCAGCTGCCAAAAATGTAATTCCCAACCTGGGACCTAAATGCGAGAGGTCCCAAGACAATAAAAGAACGAAAAGAAACAAAAATCTTACAAAAGTTACAAAAGTAATTAGTAGTTGTTTCTTTTCTTGTAAAATACAGTAAGGCAGGCGTTAAGAATAACCATAAAGAAATAGCCAATCTTCTCTCTGATGTTTTTGTGTGCTCATGTAGGTTATATAGAGGTATCAGTATTAAACATTGAGTTAAGAACTCCTTGTAGTACATTTAAAGTGTTTAATATACAGCAGAGTTGTAGCCTCACCAGTCTTGTACTGCAGAAAATCTGCATATACAGAGAAAGCTGCCTCCACAGGCCCGTTCTTGTACAGCTCGGTCATGATTTGCTCCTGCTGGGACGGGACATTGTACGTGCGTCTACCTGCAGAGGGAGACACAGAACATCAACGCATTAACATCACAGCTAGAAGCAAGACAAGGCATATCAGAAAAGTAGGGAGGAGAATAGATCATTTTAGAGGTCTGTACCAAAGTGTTTGTCCTTCTGATAGGATGGTGAGTATCCATCAATGCACTGCTCCTCACACTTTGGAGTGTCCTGTTCACCCTGACACGGAGGACGAGTACCATTTACGTGATGCTCACAGGGAGCGATGCTGTAGGGTCGGCAGCCTGTCACACACACCGTCAGTCTCAGTTCACACCTTAAATACTTCCTTTAATAGCTTCATGAAAAGCTTTATGAACCCATTTCAGTTCACACTTACCGACTTTGGAGCCATACAGGCCTCCTGTCACAAGCCCTTTCTTTGCCCAGAACTCCCAGGCAGCAGAGGGAAAACCACCAAAGCAGCTGCATCCACAGAAAAATAAAAACACAAGTGTTGTTCAGTGTCCTTTTAACAGATTCGGAGTACACTCATTTTGCTGCACAGATGCTCACCCCATGCCACATTCATCACAGCAGGACAGTAGATCTTCAGCGGAGATCTCCAAAGAGATCTTACCACCGTTGTGTATACACAACCTGTCAGATATCGCCTCAGCTGCCCCAAAGGCCTGTGGGAAATAAAAAAGGGGACAGTGGATTGAGAACAAGGTTGTGGTTTCTAAAATCCACTTAATTTATCTTTTGGTTCCCCCCGACTGAGCAACATTTCCCTAATTGAGGAAAGAGTGCTGATTCTATTACTACTATATGTTGTTGGTCTGTCTTACCCAGCAGGACCCACAGGATCCTTGATCTCTGATCTGTTGGATTGTGGGACAGTTGGGCCACTGCTGGCGTGGGTCAAAGCTGTCTGGAAGCTTTATGCCTTCAATATTGTGAACCCTGGACAAGAGAAGACAGTCACTGAGCACTGCAGATAAGATAAACCTGCTGACTGTCACCTGTCACACACACATAAATCCATGCAAACACACCCTTATATGGAAGGGCCGGTGCACTGTTTAAACTTACACCTCTGGAAGCTTGGGTCCCTTCAGTATAGTCCCACATAGTCCCTTCACATAGCTGATATCAACATTATGGAAGTTCTGCCCAGCCTGGAGCAAAAGTAGGGAAGTTAAAATTACAAGAATCACAACATTCACAACCACATCAGCAATCTGACCAGTAAATACCCAAAAATATAGACTGGACAATTAAGATGGGCTCACCGTCCAAGTGGTGTTGGCCTTGTTAATAAAGTCGATCATCTCTGAGGAGAGCAGAGGGAGGTGAGGCCGGGCCCAGGTGACAGAGACTGTCACAATTACACAGAGGAGGGCGAGTGGATGCATCCTGCAAAACAGATGACGAGACAATGACAGTGTAATTCATCATTTCTGTAATCCTACTGCAGCATCTTCTCAAAATGTTGAAATTATTTTAGCCTACATTTCTTGACTGACATCTGAATTAACTAAATATAGTTGTTTTTTAACTACTAACTACTTTTTCGAATACATACATGATCAAATATTTTAATTTTGACAACTGCCTAGTTAAAACCACTTTAAAAGGATTAAAACTGCGAACAACAACTATAATTATAAAACTTTAAAAATATAGATTTAATTATTTAGATTATATATTGTCTATATTTATATTTAAAAATAGAATTTCAGCTGAATCTCTGTTGGCTTTTACCTGTGTTGCAGTTGTTTCGATGGACGTTTATTCTGAGCAACTCCTTCCTCCTAATGAACAAAACACCAGTAATTTCAACTTCTTCTACTGTACTCTCCTTTTTACAAGCTGCAAGTTATGGAATCACATGTCTGTGTAACGAATGCATCGTCAGTACAAATCTCATGTGACTAACAAAATGGCTTTCCAAAGGTTGACAGGTCTTAAAATTATGACCTGGCAATGATTAAGAGAAAGCAACTTACCATTATTATTAACTTAGATAAAAATCTTTCTTTTTGATTATTATGCTTAATAAATATGATGTACACATATTCAGAAATATAAACAAAAACAAAGCCGGCACAATATATGAACCTCTGCTGGAAAATATAAGAATATAACTTTACAGTCTGGAATCTCTTTTATCAACAGGCTTTAAAAAATGTGTGTTATAGGCACAATCACCATTGAGATTGTTTACATTCTTTTACTTCATCTGTTTATTTGTTCAAATATGTACAAATCAAACTTTCACATTACATAGCAATGTTTGTAGCTCTCCTTTGGTTCTGTACAAGGTTACTCTGTGCTAGCCTTTCTACTCACCAAAGCTGCATTAAGGACACTTTAGCTAGCAGTCTCAATATGCATTTCTTTCAGACATCAAATGTATTAGAAATTACATTTTCTCTCCCATAATCATTTAAATAGTCAAAACTACCTTGAAATTGCACTGTCTGTTCTTTTTGTCCTATTTATTTTCCTAAGGACACAGAGTTGAAATAGAAAATAGACATAAAGTGTGAGTGGATGCTGTCGTCTATGCTAACAGACAGTGTGTCTACTGGAAAGTACACTGGTGTAACAGTTCATTTGAGTTTCTCCTGTAAGCTAGACATGGAAAAAAAAAAAAAGAAAATTTGCTACAAAATCAAATACAAACTTAAAGGGGTCCTATTATGCTTCCTATTATATGATTTCCCTTATTTTCTGTTATATATATATATCATGTTAGAATGTCAGATAATGAGGTTAATATGTTAAGTTATTCCCTGTGAGCAAACAGATTGAGCGAAAACTATTTTTTCCACTGTGCAACAGGCTGATGTCAGCTAGCCGCATATCAAGTTTTTGTCTTGCAGAAAATGCTTTTTTGGTTGTGAGGGAAAGTTCAATGTTTTCTGTTTCTCTCTCCGATGTCCTCTGGTTACTCTGTGATTTACGTTGTTTACTGATGGACATTTAGCATTACTTACTGCTAAAGTAGCCAACTGCTAACTGCTGCTAACTGCTAACGTACTTGGAGCTTGAGGCACCACCGCAGGCGGTTCAAAGTTCCTGTGCTAGAGACGTAACGTTAAACACTCCCCTGGTGCTCTGAGCTTCCAGTCTGGGCAGTCTGAGTCAGCTAATAAGACTACTAGTTGCACAATTAACTACTGAACAGCAGGTACAGTTAGCAGCAGTTAGCGGCTTAAGTAGCTCACTGCTATCAATCCATCAGGAAACTGTAAATAACGAAAAATTGAAGCAGGGCAGCCCGAAGGCCAGAGGGAAGACCAGAAACTATTAAAGCTACTCAAGTGGTGTCCTAGAATAAAAATAGAGCTGGAAATAATAGGTCCCCTTTAATTGAGTTTGGTGACAATGTTCCCCTCAAATCCTGAAATGGGTAGTCACATATTGTGCATTTCACTATATTAACACACTTTAAGGAAGACAGTTATTATTAATTTTAATGACAAAATAATGAATTAATTTGATCAATTTCTCTCTTGAAATATTCAAATATGCTGAATAATTTCACTCAATTCAAAGGGTCAAAATGTTTAAAACAAATCAAACTAAAAACAAAAAAAAGAACACAATCAACATAAACGTCAAACAACAAAACGCCCTGAATTGTTTCAATTTGCCATTTATGCTGGTGAATAAAACCACACAACACTGTGTGTAAATAACTGATCCAGATGCAGGATGGACTAAAAATCACAATCAAACAACCTAATGAGATCAACCTGCTACCAGAACCCCTCCACAGTCTAAATATGTCCATGGTCCTGTAATGGCCAGAGGGTAAGAGGGTAAAGTGGGAAGAAGTGTTTCAGATTCCTTTAGTCAGAGGAGAACCGGACCTCCAGAGCAAGCAGAGAGGCTTTTTCTGAGTCTGTGGGCCCCAGGAAAGGTTAGCTTAAATGGGTTCACTGTCCCTGCATGTCGCCTGTGCCCTGTGCCTGCGCTGCAGTGGTGCTGAGGTACTGCCAGCTTAGGGCGGCGAGCAGCATGGCGGCAGACAGGTACATGGGCGACAGGTGGTGGGTTCTAGAGGGGAGGCTGGACTGTGACAGGGCGGACTTCTCTCGGATCAGAGCCAGGATGTGCAGGGTCTTGTCCCGTGAAGGGTCAGTGAGGGAGACCTTCTGTAAAATCTGCAGAGAGGGAGATTGTTTTGTGTTAAAGTGCGGCAATGTGGTGGAAGTAAGAGAGCGAACACAAAAATACACCCACCTCCTGGCTGTACTGGCCGATGATGGTTTGCACTGCTCTCATGTTGGTGGCTTCCATCATGAGTGTGACCGCCTGTCCCTTTCTGATCTTCACTACTCCCTGGAACACCATGGGGTTGTTGTAGCATGTCGATAGTGTAGCTATAGCCATCACCTGGCCAAGAGAAGATTAACATGTAGGTCAAGTGGAAAAAATCTGAACATTACACTAAAATCTGTGCTGTTCAAATACCATGTCATACAAATCACATTAAAACCCTAAATCGCTGGAATCCAGTAAGTAATAAATCAGTGTGTACCTGTGGAATGGCACAGAAATTGAAGACGCTCTGGTTGCGCAGGCGGGACAGGTAGGCGATAACATCCGGGACGTGTCGCAGAGCATCGGTGACGAGCAGGTTGAGACAGGAGAGAGCCGACTCCAGCTTCTCTGGCTGGGCCAAGTCCTCCAGACGACCGGCAAACTGACTCCAAGCCTGCGCAGGCACACAGAGGACACAAGATATTAACACATCACATATGTCGTTATTTATTCAGCAATATGAGCAATGCATGTCGAAATGTCTCCCTCGTCAACAGTAACAAAATGGCAATTGTAAAAGACGCATAACTTGGATGATTACTCAAATAGCAAACAATAACTATGACAACAAAAATCTATATATATTTTAACTGTTTTAAAGAGACACTATCTATGTTAGACTTGTGTGACACAAGTCTCCATGCTGCATAAAGTCTGTGTGCAAAATCTAAATATTCTGCTGATAAAATGTGAGTAAATGTTAAAGTTCAGTATTTTCTTGAACTATCATACTCTGTAACTGTGGGTCAGACACACAAGCAAACGAGGTAAAACAAATAAGCTCACAGCGCGATATTACCTCTTGTGGCCAGAAGGCACGTCCCTCTTGTGTGTCCTCTAGATAGTCTCGGATGATGTTAGTCTTCTGGAGGAACAGGCCCATGGAGTTGGCCAGCTCCGTGTCCCGGCCCACCTCGGGGTCCTCCAGCTTGGACGCAGAGAACAGCTGAGACAGACCGATACCGACAAGCCCGGCCACAAAGTGGCAATACTGCACAGAAGATAAAACAAGACTTTATAGAATGTCACTGTAATATCCAAAGGTTTGATTTTGAAGTTGTGTGGTAAGACTTCATAAAAATTAAGCTACCAGAATGACTGAAAATATTAAGAGAGAATGAAACTGCAACTTAAGTGAAATTGTCACATGATTACTGTGCACAAGGTTGACAATCAGTACCAATAAGTCAAAGGTTAGCTTGCTGTTTGCTAATATTTCTGGTTTTCAAAACTCACATAACTTCCAAACTGTCACAGGCAAAGATACACGTCAATAAGATCATTTTCCTCCAAGCCAAAGACAAAACAATACTGTCTCTGCTTCAATCTGTTTGGTCATCTCTAATATTATGTTCAGTATAAGGCACTATAAACACTGCCACACATCTGTTTGTGTTTTTACAAATTTAAGTCTAAATCCATTTCTAGTTGCCATTTAAACACATGCTCCTGTTATACTCCTAATATGTCTAACATTTCTGCTGTTATCCTCACATAATGGTAACACAGGGCTATTGTTTACCAGGTCCCACTCCTTCATGGATCCCACTTTCTTTTCCAGGAATTCAGCCATTCCCACTCCCATACGGTGGCAGATGTCTGAGATGACGTCTCTGTACTCCTGAGCGAGGTTTCTGAATTCCAAGGATATCTGGATTGGCACACATGAAGATTACAGTTAATGATTTATGACAATCTTCAATTTGAGTGACGAAGATTTTATTGAAGACTTTTCTATCACATAGAAATGTACTAAACTTTGTAATTAAAATGGCATTTTATTGTGTAAATCTGTCATTTAAAAAGGGACTACGTCAGTAAATTAAGCCTGGAGAGCCTAATGAACCTGCTTACTGCCCTTCTATGTACCAGCATGCAGTGCTACTGACCGTGGGGAAATCCTCCAGAACCTGCCGGTCTTTCTCCTGGCTCTCAGTGAAGCACCACTCGTCCTGGTACAGGTAGGTGTGGAAATCGTTCAGCATGGGGACCTTCTTATCCAGAGGAATGCTCATGTCGTCCTCCACTGTGTCCAGCGCTCGCAGTACCAGGTAGAAAATACAAACTGCATGTCTGCATCATAAAGACAGGAGGGAGGGACAAGAGACGGCTTTTAAAAGGCAACTGGAAAATCTTGAGAATAATTTGAG